ACATAATAATCTCATTAGTTTTATGTTTTGGATATTTGATTTTGGGTAAAAATGCTTCTTGAAGACAGCTAATTTTGGTTGTATTCTCTTGTGAAGATGAGAGAAAAATGAGTGTTAAAAAGGCAATCCATCTTTATGTCTGACTATGTGGACAACAGCCTGAAAAATTCTCCCACTACAAAAATCATACAAAAATCTAAACCTAGAAAGTAACTGAGCATTGAAGCACACAGCTGCATTAAGAGCATTTGCCCACATCCAAATGACCTAAAGCTTTGGCTTGTAAGGACAGGAGACAAAGCTTATTGCCTGCACAAGGAAGGACACCAGATCAGGAGCAATGCATAGATCTACGATCCTTAAAGGTAAAGCAGGAGGAAAAAAAACTGCTGTAGAAATACCTATCATGGCTTTGGGTGAAAGCCAGGAAAAAGAAAATGACACTTCTGAGGAATCCCAACCACTGGCCGCCCTGTCATGAGTGTGAGGTCTGAATTCACACGAATCATATGGTCTAGAAAATGACAAAGAAGTTCTTTCAAGGTAGTCATATGTTGGCAGTGGGTCCAACCACCAGAATCAAAAGCAAATTCTCTCTGCATTAACTACTTCTACCTGGACCTCAAAAAGGTCCCACAGATACAGTTTGATCAAACACATCTTACACACATACACTCCCATGCGTGAAAAGAAAGTCCCATGAACACAAACAACAAACTAACAGAATCAAACCTGCAAAGACATCAGAGAAATAGATTATGAGATATAAAATCGTGGTCGTATAAAACAACATCTCATTTGTGGTTTAAAATGAAAAGAAAAATGATAGAAAACTACAACTAAAATGCTGGACAACAATATAATTTTGGAGAGAGTGATAATAACTCAAAGGTTCAAATGTTCTTGCCTTGCTCATGAAGAAGGTAAAGATAATAATTTTTTGTCTCATTAAGTATGCATGTTAAAATGTCTTTAGTAACTATTAAAAGAAGAGAAACAGCATATAATTGCACTCTCAGAGGGAAACAATAAACAAGGGGATTAAAAAAACACAAATGGTAGGCAACATATGCATATTAGCAATGTTTTCAAAGGTGAAAAAGTAAAAGTAAGCCAAATATGATCAATAAGAGAGTGGATAAATTTGGTATTATTCACATTATATATTCAGCTTGGAGGAATCTCACAAATGTCAAGCAATAGCAAGAAACTACTACAGAATATAAGAATATAGAATTTCACTGATACAAAGCTTAAAACATGGAAAACAATTGTCTTACTTGGGATACTGACATGTATAATAACAATATAAAAAAAGTGAGGAATGATCAACATTTCAGACATGGGTACTATTTGTCCAGAAGGCAGTAAGTGAAGAACACTCAAGCATCAAAGGAACTGCTAATGTTCCATTTCTTAAGCTAGGTAGGTAGTAGGGATTCATTTTATTAATATATGTAATTTATATTCATAATAAACCAAAACCAAACTCATTGCCATCGAGTAGATTCTGACTCAGAGGGACCCAAGGGAACAGAGTAGAACTGCCTCAGAGGGTTTCTAAGGCTGTAAATCTTTATGGAAGCAGACTGCCTCATCTTTGTTCCATGAAGCAGCTGGTGGGTTTGAACCCCAACTTTCTGGTTAGCAGCTGAATCTTTAATGATCACACCACCAGAGCTCCTATATGTATATGTATATGTAATACACACTTTTATAAGCATAAAAGATTACAATTTAAAAAATGAATAAACAATTGCTCAAAGTATTCTTTACATTAAGTGACTATAGTTCTCTTTTACAAAAAACTCATGGGATTATAAAATTCCATCAGGGAAAAAAAATGCAGAGCAAGTGAAACTTGCTATTAAATGGAATACACAAGTGTACATAGATACTAATTGTCTGAAGTCCTAGTCGAAGAATTTCATTCAGCCTGAATCTAAATGGAAAGTTTTATAATATGTGTTCTAAATGAATTCAAAGGGATGTGCTGATTTTCCCAGGATGGCCTTTGGGATCCTCATCAAAGTCACTGGCAGATACATTACACATGTCTTTCTGTAGGTAATTCATATGCCTTTAGAAAATTACTTTAAATTCACATGAACTTAAGAGTTAACAGCAAAAAGTTTTTCCATAAATGAAAAAAGGAAACAGAAATACATTTATGATAGAAAGAAAAACACTATCAATTTTTATTACTTCATAATTTGTGTGTAACAGCTATATACCTAACAGCCAGATTTACCAAGACAGCAACCACTAAGCAATTTTAGAGTAAGTTTAGCAGCCCAATCATAGCTGACTTCATAGTTTGGGTTACTTTTCCTTTTCCACATTTGACAAATCATTCTTCTGAAAAATGAAGTTTTTACATTAAAACACACACTATTTTGCTACTATAACAGTAGCGGTGACAATCAGATACTGTAATTTGTTACTCAAATTATAGATGGAATTATTAGGTGGTGATAGGGAGTAGGAATAAAAGAAATCCCAGGGACTGTATAGCCTAAGCTTTACATATTACCAACAAAGTTTTTTTTCTGGCAGCAATATCTGCCACTGAGCCAACAAAAAGGGCAGGGTGGGTGTGTGTATGTGTGTGTGGTATAGGCAGAGACGAATGCTATTTTGAGTTACAAGTTGCGTATAGGCAATATCGTATAGGCAGGAAATCAAGACATTTTGGAAAACTTGCTATATTATGAATGATTATACAAGAATCTAGCATATTTGAGGTTGGGGCAAAGCCAGGTTGATGGAAGGGTTATTCTAAGAGTTTGAAATTGGCAGGCTGCCCACCATACCCATATAAGCTCAATTACAGAATTTTAGATTTAGATGAGACTATAAAGTTTAAGTAGTCCAATTCTTTCACCTAATGCTTGCCTCTTTGGTAGAACATCTATAAAAGGAGGTACAAGCCCCTCCAAACATACCCATGAGAGGGACCTAGGTACTTCTTGGGGAAGCTTATACAGCTCGGGACTAGCTCTACTTAGCAGAAAAGTTCTACGTAACATTAAGCCATGTAAATTGTACTCGGTGGTCTATATTCTGTTCTTGGTACCACACAAATCTAATTTAGTGATGTAAACACCTGGCTATAGCTGACGTCCCTCAGGTAAACACACTCAAAGAAGCACATTCAGCATCAGCAGATACACACTGTAAGCAACAATTCCAATCAGAGTTGACAAATTATGTAAAACCCATTTACCATGCCTAGTCTAATCCACTTCCACAGGACAGTTTTAAACATTTAATACTATTTTACAATCTGTCTTCAAATACGCTATCTCATTTGAATCATAATAAAATACTCAGAGCTAAAGTGAACAGTTAACATTACTTAGAGGAGGGTATACAGCTGTGCGAACCAACAGCACTTGTAATGTATCTAGTTTAAACTGTGATGTGCTGTGAAGTATAAATACACCCACTGCCCACTACCATGGAGGCGATTCCTACTCATAGCAGCCTACGGGGCAGAGTAGAAATACCCCACAAGTTTGCCAAAGCTGTAAATCTTTATGGAAGCAGACCATCTCCTCTTTCTCCTATGAGTGGCTGGTTGTTTTGAACTGCCGACCTTTGGACGAGCAGCCAAATGCTTTAACCACTCTGCCACCAGAGCACCTTATAAAATATATACCAAAGACTTAGTACAAAAAGAACATAAAATAAATCATTTTCTTATATTGATTATACACTATTTTAGAAATACTAAAATACACTACCAGACTTAATTTCACCTACTTTTTACTTTTTAGAATGTGGCTACTACATTTAAATTGTGGCTCACTTTATATTTTTATTGTATAGTTTCCTTTGGCCATCTAATCATTACACCGACTCACGGTGAACATCCAGGTGAATAAAAACCCTGAGTCACATTTCTTCCTTCCAGCTCTAACAGTCTATCATGTGAAGACTTTATAATCACATTGGGCCACTAAACTAATCTAAGGTTTGGATTCCAGCACAAAGCTAATATACAAAAGGCACTCAATAAATACTTATTCACTGAAGTCTGTCATCCAAAGTATTAAGTACTCTTCTCAGCTTTATGTTCTACATAAATAGAATGTGCTTTCCTAAATCAATGTTCTCATCCATGTCCTAAGAAAAATGTTGGAAAAGTAAAAAAAAATAAATAAATAAAAAAAAAGATGTTGACAAAGGGCTATATTGTTAGAGGCCTCAATTAATTATGAAAATCTTTTGATTAGATTTAAAAAATCTTTCATGCTCCCTCTGACCTTTACACATATGGCTTTTACAGCAGAGATGATACATTGCTTTACATTTAAAATCTCCTTGAGGGCAGGGTCCTTGTTTTTTTTTAACAATTATGTCATCAGTTTCTGGCACCTAGCATGTACTCAAGGACTAAACAGTTTAGTGCCAAGGACCAGCCAAAAAGTTGGTGCTTTGGAGTCCAGGCCTGGCTGTCTGCTTCAAGAAGGTCAGAGCCTTGAAAACCCTATGGGACAGTTCTAGGCTGCAGCAGAGCTTGGAACAGGTTCATTCCAGTTTGAACCCCCTGCTGATATATACTGACTCAGAATCTACATTGTAACAAAATCCCAGATGGCCCCTGGGAATCTATGAGAATTACCTGAGGATCTTGTTAAAACATAGCTTCTGATTCGGTGCATCTGGAGTGTTTTTAGGCGCCAGTTAGCTCCAACTCATAGGGACCCTATGTACAACATAAAATACTACCCAGTCCTGTGCCAGACTCACAATCCTTAGAAAGGCAAATTCTCAGCAGGAGGTTGAACTGGAATGAACCAATTCAAAGCCCTGCTCAGCATACGCCAGGCTGCCAAGAGTTGGAATCCACTTGATGGCAACCAACAACAAATCACAATAAGGTCTGGCTGAAGCCAGCCAAGGGTCATTTTAGCTGAAAAGCTAGAAATTCCTATCCCCAACCTAAGAGACAATGTGGGATAAGGTGACGGCGCTTGTATTCTACTCAGACACCAACAACTGAAACCTTTAACTCGTACTTTCCTAGTAGGATAAATATGGATGTAGTCCAATTTCAGGTAGATTTATACATTTATTGTACTCTAAATGCTAAATTGCACTTATGATGTCAAAACTTTTTAAGATGCTGAATGGCCTCATGAGTAAAAGAAGAAATAATGCTTATTATGATTTTAGTGAGAAAATTCTTTTAAATCTTTGAAAATTGGTCACTGCCAAATTACCTAATTGAATAATCATAATCTGAGAAATAAGATTCTATGAATAATATCCTGGTAAATTAAGGATTAACCAAAATTCCTGAGGGTTGAGCCCTCGCTGTTCAAAGTCCCTCTTACATACATGGAGGACTGCCTTTCCTGTGTGCTCACGGTCATTCACCATAAACACTACTTTGTCTATTTAAATATGGTGCTGTGCTTCCGTGTTATCATTGTCCAAATCAAAGGCAGCTAAAATATATATGGCTTACAATGTGCCAGATGCTATTCTAGGAACTACACACATACTAATTAAATCTTCACAAACCCATCTTAAGTGTTATTTTCCTCATTTTGGTAGATGAGAGACTAATTACCTTGCTCAAGGTCACATTGCTATTAAAAGGTATAGCCAGGCCAAAGGAAAAAGAGGCATGCCTCCAGAGTTCACGCTCTTAATAAGGATGCTGAACTGCCTGTTCAATTAACATGATCTTGTACTTTGCATAACTAATTCTATGCTTTAGATGTATAAAAAGCATGACAGCATACTAATAGGAAAGCGGAAATCTTACTAAAGCTAAAAAATTTGGAGGACTGGTATTTAGGCTCTCAACAGTAACTTGTCAAAGTGGAATGAAGAAAAATTGTAATGAATTGCATTCCATTTAATTGGAGTTTTTTTCACTACCTTGTGATGTGAACACAATCTCAGACATAAATGACTGGGAAAAGTCCTTTTCTGTGGTTCTTCTTCTTCTTCTTTTTTTTAACATTCAAATATAATTTTAAAGTTTAACTTTGGTTTGTGTAAGTTTTCTTACCAGGGAAATACCTTGTCATTCACTGCAGTTTTGTAGACTAACCTGAAATGCACACGTGCCAATGACCACATAGTTATTGCCACCATAGGCAATTAGGTTTCCTGAATCCCCACTCTCAAAGGGATTAAATTCTACCACATGCACACAATCTTCACAGTCCACAGTATAGGCAGCATTTCTTGTGACATCTTGCTTCATCTTGTATGGCAAAACTTGAGCAGTTGTAAACAGCAGTCTTCTATTGGACAAGGTCACAAAACTGTGGATTACAGCACAAACAATTAAAAATGGTCAATGTGTTAGTCATTCAGCAAATAAAATAGATATGTGGCATTGCACTGCCACAGATGGCTCAAAAGGAATGAAACATTTAAAGTATTTATTACAGAAACAGCAGGAACATAATTTCACCAAATTATTAACAGTGCAATACCTGCTTTATAGTTGTCCTCTTTCCCACATTTGTGAATGATACTTGTGAGTAAGTCATGGTAAAATCATGTTTGAATTATCTAAAAGACATGGTGAGCACTTGGAAAGGGGATCAATTTAATATTAGATATAGTCACATAAATTAATAATAATTTTTACTAAGAACTATTTGGGAGCTCTGATAGTGTAGTGCCTAAGGCATCTGACTGCTAACCCGAAGGTTGGTAGTTCAAACCCACCAGCCACTCTGCAGAAGGAAGACTAGGCAATCTACTTTCGTAAAGATTTACAGCCTGGGAAACCCAAAGGGGGTTGCTATGAGTCAGAATCTACTAGATGGCAGTTTTTTTTTTTTTTTTTAAGCATTATTTGTAGCCCCATGCTAAGCACATTACTGACATATCATACTTAATATCTGCACAAGCCTAAGAGGGAGGTACAATTTATGGTCTCCATTTTACAGAAGAAGAATTTGAAGCTTTAGGAGGTTAAGCAACTTGTCAAGCTCCAAAGTGGAGCCAGGATTTTAAATATTTTTCTGTATGTTGGGCACCAACGACAGGGAAGAACAACACAGGAGATCCTAATCCACAGACAGTTACGATTCAGGGTGAAAAGTTCTCTAATAGATGCATATACAAAATATGATAGGATCTGGAGGAGAGTGCCAAAATGTGTGAGATAAAAATGGTACTCCGAAAACCAGACACAAAACTTCAACTAACCAGTCTGAGCTTAGTGTATACTCTGGGAGTAGCACTCCCAGATAAAAATTATAGACCTAAAGAGTTTTATTCATTTTAATTACTGAAAAACAAAGACTCTAAAAGATTAGAGTTTTTATGCGCTTGGCAACACCTGGGCCCAGTATCAAACACCTGGTGGGTATTTACTGATAGTTAAAATGAATCCCACCTCAGAGATCTAAGAAACTTTACAAGTGGGCATCTGGGACTGGACGCCTGTTAAGGGTAAGAACAGCTGAGATGTCCACAGAATGAAAACGGTGTGTGAAACCCAAGAGATTCAAGGAATCTCGGTCCTGGGCTTGGACCTATGGCTCTTTAAAGCAAAACCCGATCTAACTACACTTCTTAGGGACTCACGTACACGCTGGGCTAGATTAAAACTGAAAAGGTAGAGAAGAAGGGCGGGGAGCAAGGAAGTCCCTGCAAGGAGACCCGACCGCTCTCCCCTGGCCGGGAGCGTCCCACAAGAACCTGCTCCCGCCTCCCCGGACCCGCCGTGGAGGGAAAAGGGATGGGAACAGCCAAGGGAGAGGAAGAAGTCTAGCGGACAGGATGGAAGGGCTGGCGGCGGGCAGCAAATCGGCACAGTTCCTTGCACTCCCCACACGATACACACCGGAGGGCGCCTGGCCAAGGACAGAGGAAAGCTGGTCTCCGCTGGGGGCCCGCAGCGGCAAGCACTGACTTTGCTTCCGGGTCGGAGGGCGAGCGCGGCGATTGGCTCCCAGGCCCTTCCGCGAGGTTTGAAATGTAACCCGCGGAGGCCGGAGCTATAGAGAGCGGTATCACGCGGCGAACTTTTTCTCGGTGGAATTTGCACCTTTGGGGTCTCCCTGAAGCCAGGTGAGTCTCGCCTCTTCCTCACCCGCCTCTCGCACTTTAAGTGGTCATTCAGGCCGGGGCTTGTGAGGGCGTTCTGTGACAGCTAAGCGTCCTGTGACAGTAGGGCGATGTTATTTATTCAGTTGCTTTGTGTTGCGTCTGGGGCCTTTGGACAGAGTTCACAATATCTTGCGAGGGAGCTGGAAGGTCCTAAGGTATCATCTGCAGATTGCAAGACTGAAGCTCAGAGAGGGCAGCCTGCTTAATAAGGCCCATTAGGCAGGAAACCAAAGCTTTACTCCCAGCATGGAAGCTGACTTCAAATACTTTTATAATATCCTTCCGAGGAACATTAAGACCTGAATTTTGACAGTAATAACAACAACGACGGTCTTTTTTTTTTTTTTTTTGGAG